CCTGTCTTAGTCCTTTTAAAAATTTTATTTTATTTTATTTTATACGTGTGAGTATTTTGCCTGCGTGTATGTATGTGCACCATGTGCATGTATGGTGCCCACAGAGGCCAGAAGAAGGTGTTGGATCTCTTGGGACTGGAGTTTAGTAACTGAATCTGGGAACTCTGCAAGAACAGCCAATGTTCTTAACTGCTGAGTCATGTCTCCAGCTCCCTAGTCCTTATTTTTACTTTATTTTTATATGTGTAACATGTATGTGCATGTTCATAGAGGGGTGTGTGTGTCTGCATGTGAACATACATGCACATGTATGTGGAGACCAAAAGTCAACCTTGGGTGTTGTCCCTCAGGTTTTTGAGACTAGGTCTTTTATTAGCTTGGACCCACTGATTAGTCGAGACTGGCTGGCCCCGGAGACGCTCCCACTTCTTTCTGCCTCACCAGTGATGGGATTGTAAGTGTGCAGCACCCAAGCCTGGATTTTCACATGGCTTCTGGGCACGGAATTCAGGTCCTCGTGTTTGCACAGGAAGCACTTTACCCATCGAGCCACCTGTCCTGTCTCCCTCCTCGGTCCTCCTTATCACTGTCACCGTCACAGGGACCTAAGGAGCTGTCCATGGGGACAAACAAAGGCTTCCCACATCAGCAGGCACAAGCAGCCCTTCAGCAAGTGAGGATTGACTAAAAAAGCCATGGAGCTTCCATCACAGGCAGGCACCGCTCTCGGTGCTGACCTCAGAGTGCAGGCTCATGGCACACAGCTCCGGGGACACCGTCACTAATGCTAGCAACTTGGCTCCACTTTAGGATCACATTGGGAGCTTTCAGAAAAAGCTGGGGATTCTGGGTCAATTGGTCTGGTTCAAGGCTCAAGACATCATGGGAGCTTTGACTAGCTATGAGATCCACTGGATTCCTAGATCCAATCAGCTGCTGAAGAGAGACCCCCACAGCTTGGAAGTTTCTCCAGCCACAGCATCTCTCCTTTTCCTTCAAGAGGAGTTGAAGTGAATATTTTGTCATGGAACAACCTCATGTAGCAACTAGAACCCTGTTCACTCACCCTTAGTTGGTAGTAAATGCTGTTTACTATATGCATGGTGAAGGCACAGACAGAGCAGGCTGGGTTGATGGGGAAGTCACGCCTCTGAGGAGCTGACATTTAAACAGGTCCTGAATGACAAGAAAAAAAAAATCTGTCATGCAAAGCCATCATGATCATAGGTTCAAAGGCCACAGGGACAAAGGGGACATATGGCCAGGGCACAAAAGACAGTAAAGAGATGAAGCTTGAGAGGTGGCTGGAGATATATTATGGAGTGTCTTGGAGCAGTGATTGTCAAGTGACTTTCCTTTTCAATGTGTTAGGAAGCCCCAGGTTTTAGGAGGCAAGACATGGCCTTCTTGTATCTGTAAGGGACACTTGGGCTGCAGCAGGAGGCAAGCTGGTGGGCAGGAGGTGTGGGCAAGAGTGACCCACTACGTCAGGGTCAGGGACCAGAGCCCAAGGGAAAGATGGGCTTGGCTCTTCTGCAGAGTGGGGAATGTAGGTCAGGCAGCCCAGCTCACTCAACAGGCCGCTGAAGCAGCCCCCTCGCCTGTCAGGGGAAATCTGAGTCTGCGCTATGTGGGCTCAGCTGAGATCTGCATTGGCAGGGGAAGCAGAGAGACAGTCACCCAGGTGCAAGGATCTGGGTCACCACCCAGGATGCCCTCATCCCCCTTCCCAGAATGCCTTTCCCCCTCCTCCACTCCCTCATTATCTTGCCCAGGCAAGCTAGACATATACCACGAGGGAAGCAGGCAGCAATATTTTAAGATCAGGGCTCAGCCCTCTAAATAAACCATAAACAAAACCAACTTCCCTGCTACAGAAGGAGGGAGATGGCTCCATTTCTCTTCAGTGCGTTGACTGGGAAATAAACAAGTGCCTCTGCCTGTCACATACACTTAACCTCTGCAGAGGCATCTGCCAGGTCCAGGAGCTTCTGCCTGGCCTTTCCAAGAAACAGCTTATATGCCCCAATCTCAGCTCCTCCCTGCGGGCTCCAAACTCACTTGATACTCGGGGAAAGGTGGGTGTGGGTTTTGCCCCTGAGCCTGACCTCACAGGAAAAACTAATCAAGGGCAGGTACAGACCAGGGGCTCCAAGGTAGCCTGGGTACAGAAGAGGATAAGGGTCAGGAGATGAAAGCAGAGAAAACAAGCAACAAGTAGAAGGTGGAGATGGGTGTCCAAAATGGGGGCAGAAGGGCAGAGCTGAGGATGGCAGGGAGTGCCCTTAATAGGGAAATTAGAAGTCCGAGAGCCCCAGAAGTCTGTGGGAGGAACGTGTGGGAGAAGGGGGAGGGGTGTGTCCCAGGGAGGGACAAAGAAACAAAAGTTAAGAATTTCTTTCTCCATAAACAGTCTCATATAAAATCAGAAAGGAAGAATGAATGAGTGAGATAAATAAAGCAGAGAAAAAAAAAACCCAGTGTCGTCAAACGCATGTCTCATTCCTAGGAGGAGAGACCCCCAAGTAGAGCAGGAGGAAGAGACTAATGAACAGTGACAAGGAGCGGAGGCTGAAGGATGGGAGTGGCCGAGAGCAGTGACATGCTGCAGACTCCATACAGACATGAGTGGCAAGAGGTAGCTGTCAGTCTTGGACTTGCCAGCAGCGGACAGCTGAGAGTTGGGGTGCAGACTAGAGAGTGGCTGTCTCCGGGGCTGCTGCTAAGGGCACCTGCAGTGTGGAGACCGCATAGCCACCCTCCGAGGGGTGGGAAGGGCTGAGAAAGTGAGCATCAGCAAGCCAAGGATGACACATTCACCAAAGCACACCCCCTCTGCAAAGGCTGGCACTCTCTCAACAGTACACCATGGGATGAAGGAGCCCCAGGAGCCCCCAAACTGCAGCCCAGCCAGATGGGGAGCTCCAGACTTCAAATGACACATCCAGCCAGACTATACAGAGGATCAGGAGAGAATATGCCAAACAGACTCCCACAGAAATAGATGATTGGGGCCAGGTGTGGTGGCACAGTATGATCCCAGCCCTCTGTGAGTTCAAGGACAGCCTGGTTTACATAATGAGTACCAGGACAGCCAGAGCTACATAGAGAGACCCTGTCTCATAAAACAAAAAAAAGGGGGGTCGTTGGGGGAGGGAAGGGGACTGCAAGACAGGGTGACATGGGAAAAGTAAATGATAAATGAATGAGAATGTCATAATTATTTTGTATGCTAACTGAAACATGTAAGGAAAAATGAGTAATCACAAATAAGTGGACACGGAGACAGACACCAATAGACTGACCACTCCCTACACACATACACACCTACCACCACCACCCCTCTAGCATCAAACATAAAAGAAAGGAGGCTCATGTGGACCACACCACACTATTCTTCCCACACATGACTGCTTTTGCTGGAAGCCCACACCCATAGATGCTTCGGGGACATGGGTGTGGAGTCCTCTCAGTGAGGACACACTTGTCCATGTACACATATCACTCGTGCTCAAAGGTGAGTGGCTGGCACAAGGATAAGTCCCATTTGGATCCAGTGATCCCATACAAAACTAGATCAAGGATTCTCTCCAGATGAGGAAGCCCACAGCAGGCTTGTCTTTTGCATTGTTTACGTGGTTCTGGGGACCAACACCCAGGGCTTCACACACGCCAGGCAAACACTAGCCCAGAGCTCCAGTCCCAGACCGTTAAGCAGTCTAGAGCCAGAACAGCTTTCCATTAAGGTGGTGTCCTTAGAGCCACATAAGGAAAATGTCTCTCATTATGGCTGTGCTGTTTTTCCTGTGAGTCTGGAGCCACCCGATGAGAACTCTCTTAGGACTTCTGACCAAGACATGTAGACACTAGCTCCGTGCTAAGGATGAACCCAATAGTCTGAAAATGAGGACCGTGCAACAGACCCAGAGACCAAAGGGAGACCCCGGAATAAGGGTCCATTTCTCGGCTTGGATCAGTTAGGAGGACCCTAAGTCTTGTGATGACCATACTAGTGCTGAGGTCACACTGTTTACACAGTCCCACATCATATACACATTCTACACGGATGCTCCAGCTCCCCGTACACGCACGCTGCATGCATCTTCCCATCCATCAGAAGACGTTGTCAATGTTGTTCACAGACATTGGAAAATCCTACTGTTCTCAGACCACATTTGTGCACAGAAATCAAAGCACCCCTTTGCAGCCCACACACCACACTGGCCTGTACATACACGATACCCACACAGAATTCTCAAACAAAACTCCATGACTCCTTTCCAAGCCAGTGGGACCTGTGCACACCTCCCCAACCTCTTGCTCCACCCACATCCCTGCCGCAGCTCGACCTGCCTTCTCTGACACCACCTATTTTCCAATAACCCATTTCCAGGCGTGGGAAACTTTTTTTCGGGTCTCTGATAGAGGAAGCCCACAAATTCTTCTGTTGCTGCCATATCTACCCTACACACCAAAGTCATCCCTCATTCCCTAGCCTGTCTCTACAGACCCAGCGAGGGAGAAAGTCACCGTAGGCAACCTTCTGCCTGAGCCCTGGGGGTGCTGGCAATAACAGCTGTCCCCGGAGGATGCGGAGGGAAGGGGGAAAGGTGCTGGCTCGGTGCAGAGCTGGGGGGCGCCGGGGAACAGAATGACATCTTCGGAGTCTGGGGCGGCGGCTGAGCCCCAGGCTGAAGCGCACGGAGCTGTCCGTTCAGCACCATCGCGCGGCTCGGGGCTCTGGGCCCTCCGCAAGGCGCACGGGCTCTGTTCCCACCCCCGCTCCGCGGGCGCCTGCGGCGTGGGCTCCTGCCTCTCTTGGCGGGTGAGGGGCGCGCGGATCGGAAGAGGGGGGCTCCACGAGCGCCGGGGCCACGCAGCCACCTGTGAGCCTCTCGCGGCTGCAGGCGGCGGCGTGTGGGGCCCGAGACTGAAGGAGGCGCACGGCGGACCCCGCCTGCCCGGTGGCGGGGCACACACACAGGCGCACACATCCACATCCTCGCACCCGCGCGCACTCGCGCAGCCAGCCTGCGGCGGCCACCGCGGTGATGCTCGCCAGCAGGTCGGGGAAGTTTCCCGCCGGCCTCGGCCGCGGGCGCCGGTGCACCCAGGTAAGCGCTTCCAGAACGTGCAAGGCAAGCCAGGGGAAGGCGCAGCGCACGCGGCCCGGGGGCACGGCGCCAGAAGGGCGCGGGGATGGGGGTGGGGAGGGGGCTGGAAAGGGGATCGGTCCTTGCAGGCTGAAGACTGGGACGCCGAGTTGACCCTCTTCCCCCTGGGCCCAGATTTACGGACTGGAGCGGTGAATTTCCCCGCCCCCTCCCAAATCTCCTCGCCCCCTTCTTGGCCCAGCCCTGCGATGCGCATCTCAGCTTGGGTCCCGCCTGTCTGCGGCGAGAGGGCGGGGGCGTCTCCTTGGTCTGCTCACAGGCAAGGTCAGCACGCAGCCCCCCCCCCCCCCTCCCGGGCTCTCAGAGCCGTTGGACGCTATTCCGGGGAGGAGGTGGAGGCCCGACTATACTCGTAGAAACGAACACCCTTGCCTTGCCTTGGGAAGGGGTCAACCCCCATAGAACCATTCCAGCACCCCAGTGCCCAACCGCACACAGAGACCCTGCTGGAGAGGACTGGGCCCGCCAGAGGAGGGTGGGGAGAAGGAAAAAGAGAGGCTGGGGTGGGGAGTGCCGGCGCTCACACCGATGCGGTTCCCTCCGCTTTCAGGTGTAGCGCCCCCGCGCGGCGCGGGCGCCTGGGCATCTCCAGCATGACCCGTCAGAGCCTGTGGGACGTGTCCGAGGCCGACGTCGAGGATGGAGAGATCCGCGTCAATGTGGGCGGCTTCAAGAGACGGCTGCGTTCCCACACGCTGCTGCGCTTCCCTGAGACGCGCCTGGGCCGGCTGCTCCTCTGCCACTCTCGAGAGGCGATTCTGGAACTCTGCGATGACTATGACGACGTCCAGCACGAGTTCTACTTCGACCGTAACCCTGAGCTCTTCCCTTACGTCTTACATTTCTACCACACCGGCAAGCTTCACGTCATGGCTGAGCTGTGCGTTTTCTCCTTCAGCCAGGAGATCGAGTACTGGGGCATCAATGAGTTCTTCATCGACTCTTGCTGCAGCTATAGCTATCATGGCCGCAAAGTGGAACCTGAGCAGGAGAAGTGGGACGAACAGAGTGACCAGGAGAGTACCACGTCCTCCTTTGACGAGATCTTGGCCTTCTATAATGATGCTTCCAAGTTCGATGGGCAACCCCTGGGCAACTTCCGCAGGCAGCTGTGGCTGGCACTGGACAACCCGGGCTACTCAGTCCTAAGCAGGGTCTTCAGCGTCCTTTCCATCTTGGTGGTGTTGGGATCTATCATCACCATGTGCCTCAATAGCCTGCCCGACTTCCAAATCCCTGATAGCCAGGGCAACCCTGGTGAAGACCCCAGGTTCGAAATCGTGGAGCACTTTGGCATCGCCTGGTTCACATTTGAGTTGGTGGCCAGGTTTGCTGTGGCCCCTGACTTTCTCAAGTTCTTCAAGAATGCTCTAAACCTTATTGACCTCATGTCTATTGTCCCCTTTTACATAACTCTGGTGGTGAACCTGGTGGTGGAGAGTTCGCCTACCTTGGCTAACTTGGGCAGGGTGGCTCAGGTCCTGAGGCTGATGAGGATCTTCCGGATTCTCAAGCTGGCCAGACACTCCACTGGCCTTCGCTCCTTGGGAGCCACCCTGAAATACAGCTATAAGGAAGTGGGGCTGCTCTTGCTCTACCTCTCGGTGGGGATTTCCATCTTCTCCGTGGTGGCCTATACCATCGAAAAGGAGGAGAACGAAGGCCTGGCTACCATCCCCGCCTGCTGGTGGTGGGCTACCGTCAGTATGACCACTGTGGGGTACGGTGATGTGGTCCCAGGGACCACAGCCGGGAAGCTGACGGCCTCTGCCTGCATCTTGGCAGGCATCCTGGTGGTGGTCTTGCCCATCACCTTGATCTTCAATAAGTTCTCCCATTTTTACCGGCGCCAAAAGCAACTTGAGAGTGCTATGCGTAGCTGTGACTTTGGAGATGGAATGAAGGAGGTCCCTTCAGTCAATTTAAGGGACTACTATGCCCATAAAGTTAAATCCCTCATGGCAAGCCTGACAAACATGAGCAGGAGTTCACCCAGTGAACTGAGTTTAGATGATTCTCTCCATTAGCTGGGAGCGTTGGTCATCCTCAGACATACATTGCCGATCTGCTTCTTGCACCTTCGGCACAGTCCAGGCACTGTAGGGTTATGGCATAAGGAGTCATTCTGACCCTGGAGGGAGAGCTGCATGGGATATGAGCCCTAGGTTGTTTTTGCAATGTTTGGAGGATTGCATTTTTTTAGAGGATGGTGTGTCTAACACCATGCCTTTGCACCTTTCAGTGAAATGACACTCACTGGTCTTTGCATCATGGGCATAAAATGTTCATCTTTCTGCCAGATGAGTATCTAGAATGCTGATTTATCTGTCCTCTGTGTGCACTATTCTAGTGTTTATGCCCCAGTATTATCTGTGAATAGAGTCGTCTGTGCTCGTATTTCTGAGGTTGTTGTGTGAACTCTATATAAAAAGCCCCGGCAAGTCTGTCCAGTGGAAACACAACTGTCTATGATGTCAGCAAGGATATCATGAGATTTGGACCACAACCTTGTGAAAACAGAATCTCAATTATTTATCCATTGCTTTCATTTAATTTTAATACCAAAACAGAAAGATTGTAAGCTAAGCACACTTGACCAATGCAAGTCTTCTTTCTACTTGGTCTTGTCCTTGTGACTTGCATGGATACGCCAGTCAGTTTTTAGAAAGATGTGTATAGATGTGTATCTCCTAAGTGTCAGTGTAAGAGAATGTTATTCAGTCCACATGTAGTAAAGACTAAATGTTTTTCCCTAAGCGGATAGATTACGGAAGGGACTTTAGTTAAACATGGCCCACACCCCAAGATGCTATAAACAGAGTTCATGTAGGCTAAGCCCTTTCATTGACAGTCAGGCCTCTATTTCTTCTGGAGGAATCATAGAGGCATTTATTTCTGGCTGGGATTCCTAATCCAGGCCATTTTGACCAAAGTTTGCTGTGTCTTGGTATTAGCATGTTTTTCAAGAATTTCTTTTTAGAGATGTTTAGGAATAAGGTTGTACGTCTTTCTCAACTAGAACAGGTTAGTGTTGCATTGTCGTCGTGAGGTGAGCATTGTTAGGTTGCTAGCAAGGGCAGTAGCTTAAACATTTTCTTGCCTGCTCTTAAAGCTCATAAAATGACAGCCCTTTTATTTCCAAGCAGAATTCTCTTTAGGTAGTTTTGCTTCTAGGATACAGGAGAGTATGTACGATGTTTTGATTGCCTTGAGTTCCTGCTGGGACATGGAAGCCTGGTAGTACAGAAACATATTCAAGATACAGACATGCGTGAAGGCAGCGTGGCTGATCCAAGCCCTGGGGTCTTATTTCCATTGCAATTGCAGGGTTTTCTTGTATGTGTGTGTGTGTGGGGGGCGCGGTAGAGGCCAGAAGAAAAGAGTTATAAAGCCAAAAACTACTTACTTCATAAAACATAAATAACTGTGAATTTCTTAAAAACCTTAAAGCTAGTCAGGAAACCTTTCAACCTATTAAGCTTCATTGAAGGGTTGCCGCTGTTTCCTTTTCCACACACCCTGCTCCTCTTCTGCAGCTCGTCAACATAACACAGTAGGAAGGGAAGTTGGGCCCCTCTTAGGATAATTCTTTCCCAGCATCCTCTACATAATCTGATGGTTTTCCGGTGGCTTTCGTTATTGTTAAGTCTTTGGCAAGGCTATGGAATCTAGGGATCCAAATATGGAGATAAACAGACTTTTTATCCAAAGTCTGGACCTACTCTTAATTGGTCCATTTTGTGTTTTAGTCGGGTAAGGATAATCCACACCTCACGAGAGTATGGAGTGGATCTTCTCAGAGGGCATTGTGTTCTAGTAGTTGTCATGGCTACTACAGTGTGGGCGATTTGTTGGATGAATGCACTGGCCACTTAATGTCCTTGAGCCTCCAGTTCAAATCTTTCATCAGATTGGAGTCTTATTGGAGGGGGGGCAAAGGGTGGCAACCTTCTAGTGCCTCCATGCAGACACACTATGTGTGTTATTCCAAAGCAGCAGGATGTGAGATAACCTGAAGAACCTGCCGAGGAGTCAGAGGACCAGGCATGTTTTCTGGAGTTTACAAGGGAACTTTTGTTGTTGGCTAGTGTCCTCAGCCCTGGGAGACAGAACATTATAAAGCGTCCCAGATGCCCTGAAGGCAGGTGATAGCAAACCTGCCAAGGCTGCTGATACAAGGTAATGGCATGGCAGCCATGGTCACTGACCATGATGCTGATACAAAGGAGAGATAAGGCAGGAGGCAGAGTAACAGCTGCTCTCACAAGGACTTTCCTAAATGAGCGGGTTTACCACCAAAAAAGAGAGACCTCTAGTGGGTACCTACGAGGGTACAAAAGCTGGAGCACTTGACTTTTCTTTTTGGTAATGACTTGCTTTATCTGGTGCCTTTCTTTGGGAGAATCCCAAAGTGCTTTAGAAACTTCTTTTAAACATTTCTTGTACATATATGTATACTTGTAAAAGAATATTTCTTTGCTCACCAAGACTTTCAGTCGATCCAGTACATGAAAATTTCCCAGGAGCATTGAGTTCTCCAAGCAGCGGTTTCAGAGACCTCGAGGGAGAACCACCCCAAGGCTGGGACACTGACTTCCCACAGAAGGTGAAGAATGGTGTGGGACTCTGGGAACCCTTCTCTCACCACCAAACCACACCAAGGTATGAAGTTCACAAGTGCTGGCTCAGCAGCAAAGCCTCCGATTGGCCATGTTAGATAATGCCCCGCCACAGCATGTCTCCTGGTAACCAGGGAAGGGCAGGTTAATTTTCTGCCCTGTTCTTGGGAGTAAAATCTACAAAGATTAAGTGACCCCATCAGACTGTCAAAGTGACCTGTAATCAATCCTCCTTTGGTGGGACGTACACAAACACACACACACACACACACACACACACACACACACACACACACACACACAGATGCACGTGTGTCCGGCTTCACTCTTGGCATTTGACCTGCTTTGCTCACGGACATTGTGGAAGTAACACATGTCCGTTACACGGATGCACTAGGCTTAGGCTGTGTTCCCCGTCAGACATCCTCCTTTCCCAGGTTTGCTGCAGAGAAGGGGCGTGTTGAATGCCGAGCTTATGCCTAGCTCATCAGGCAGTAATTGGTGTTTAATATTTGGATTTGTTATTTCTACTTATCACGGCACTCAAATCACTGAACTACCTGTTAATTATTTCTTCATTTCAATGGAAATGATTTGTTCTGCACTTTGGGGTAGCGGCGATCTGTACAGGCTGTGTGGTCTCTACTTAGACTTCACTGGTATTTCTTGTATGTTTTAACAGCATGACTTGTTCCAGGGTTGTAATTTTAAGCATCGAGAACGCTGTATTTGCAATGTCAGTTTTAACACTCATTAACACACTACTGTGCAAGCATCCTGGCGGCTCCACTGCGCCGTTCTATCTGAGCTCTGTGCTTGAAAACCTGTGCCTCAACTCTGGAATGAGGCACAGGACTGACATGTTGAGGATGCCAGCCTTGCAAATGTACAGATTAAACAGAAAACAATTATTTAATTTCCTTAAGGCCCCTCAGTTACACATGGAGCGGCAGAGACAAGGGCACTGGGGAGCAAGGGACTGGACTGCCTGGAAGACTGAACTGGGTTGTTTGTTTTATTTTTTCATGTTTATATGTGTGTGGTGTGTGAATGTTCACACGCGTGTGTGTGTGGTGTGTGTATTCATGTTCACATGTGTGTAGAGGCTAGAGGTTAAAGCTGGTTATTTTCCTCAATGACTATACACCTTATATATGCAGGCAGGTTCTCTCACTTGAACCTAGAGTACATCAGTTTTGCTAGTCTAGCTAGCCAACTTGCTTTGGGAATACTTGTCTCGGCTTCCCATGTGGTAGGAGACCATCCTGCCTCCCCACATTTACATGGGTTTTGGAGATTTAAGTGATGGTCTCCCCCGCCCCAAGGCTGAAATTTCTTCTTGTCAGGCAGCAGGTAAAGGAGCTTTTGCTAAGATATGGAGCTACTAGGTGCTTGGTAGAAGGCTTGTTACATTTTCTTGGGACCCCAGTGGGCCAGAGGCTCCTGAAGGATTTCCTTTTCACTCAGTGCCCTGCTTAGAGCCTCCACAGCCTGCTCTGACAGCCCTGCCCTGTCCCAGAGTGCCAATCTGTCAACCTGGTATGGAGTAACTCAGAGTGTCCAGGCTGCTTGGGTGTGAATATTGTTGGAGGATTTGTGAAACCGACTCTAGTCCTTCCCACCCGGAACTTAGAGGCTGCGGTCTCCCGAGGCCACGGGGGAATCAGTGAGAGGGGCACTGCTTGACTGAACTTTAACTCCTGGCCTTTTGACTTCCCTTTCCTCTGCTTCAGAGTGAGAAAGTTGGGTGAGATAATTCTTAAAGGTGTTTGTTTACCTTGGTATGATGGCAGAAGTTCAGCATGCCTCTCAATGTCTTCCTTAGAGCACAAGAGCTCCCCACATCTCTGATTTATGTTTTAGGAGAGTGGAGGTTTCACCCCTCTTGTGCAGGCAGAGAGGGACAAGGAGAAAGGCTTAGGCCTAGTGTCTGGTTCAAGTACCTTGAGTTTTTAAACAAGCAGCCATTGTCTACCAAAGGCTTTAAGTTATTCATACTTCTTATATGCAATCCAAATTTCTGCTATTAAAAGTTACTAGGCAAAGAGGAGAAACCACATGCATTCCATTTGGCTCACTTTTGTTCTTTGTGAAGCCAGGCAGGTGCTGACCCCTGTTCCAGGACATTACTGAGAGGCTCTTGGTGTGTAGTTCAGATGACTCTCCTGTCTCACAGGTTAACTCACTGCAGGGTGCCGCATTCTGCCTGCATCCCCTGGAAAGCTGAGGTGAAGGTCAGTGCCAGAACCAAGGTGGCACTGACCATGACCCGTGTTCCCATCTAGTAGGGTGTGGCTTGACCCCTCCATCCAAAAGGAGAATAAACATGTATCAGGGATATTTGGACACCAAGATGCTTTACACCTCACAAGGCAAAATACCTGCTCCTCAAACATAACGTGGTCGAAGTTCACCTCTTGTTTTCAGAATCTTTCAGTAGCTTTCTGCCAAGGACATTGGTTCTATTGATATGGCATTGATACTGCAGATGGGAAAGCTGCTTTTCTTCCTTTTGTTATTTCTCAGTGTCACTGTCCTGGCTGGCTTCGCCCACACAGACGACCGGGTTAGCAGCTGACATGGTTCACCCCTGAGTTGTGGAAATTCCTATCAAAGAAAATGAGGATGGGAAGAGGGCAGGAAAAAGAGAGGAAGGAGGGGTAGAAGTTACAGGAGAAAACAAAGAAAAAACAGAGAAAACCGGAGACATGTAGGCAGCATTTAGTGAGATCAGGAAGAGACCAGACAGTCAAGAGACCCTGGGGGAGGTCAGAAAGAAGACAGGAGGATCTCCCCCACCATCTCCCCCTCCCCTTCTTCCCTTCCCCCTCCTCTCTCCCCTCCCCTCCCTCTGTCCCCTCCATTCTACCTCTCCCCCCTCCCCTTTCCTCTCAGTGCAGAGACCTGCACAAAGCCCAGGAGGCAAGGCTGCTGGAAAGTGTGAAGGTAGAGAGGAATATGGTGGGAGTTGGGGGAAGGAAAAACATGATAAAAAATATTAAATGAAAAAATTTCAATTAAAAAGAATAGTCAAGTCAATGTGCTTGAGAAGCAGCGGTCAGGTACAAAAGCAGGCCAGAGAAAAGCCACCTCTGAACAGCCTAAGCTGAATTCTGCTGTTGCTGAGGTGGGACACCCTAACTAGCTTTATGATGTCAGAATGTGACTGGAACCAACTTCAAAGCCCAGGCCTCCCCGCAGCCACCACCACAGTGAGGCCAATCCAGGGCCAGCATGGGGGTCAGGCAAGGAGGAAAAACCGTTCCACAGGCATGCATCTACCAGGTGCTCAGGGACACGGAGGAGCATGATGGCTCTGCTTAACTGAGGGACTGATGGGTGGCCACCTGCTGGTGTCACCGAGAGAAAGTGGGAATCCTCAGGCCCCTCCCTGCTGCCAGGATGACTGTCTGAGTGGGCGGGGCTGTCTAGAGAGGAACTCCAGCCATGTGTGTAGAGGGGACACAGAGACACAGAAAAAGGGATGTGACCCCTGCCAATGGCCAGCATCCGAGGAGAACCCGAGGGGCCACCAAGTCCCCAAAGCCAGGGATCTCAGCTAGTCCACCATCTACCAGCTCCTTTCTCTCTTCTGAGCAGGTGGAGATGGGTTCCCAGCAGCCTCAGAGGGCCTCAGGCTCTCCCACCATTTCCTAATTCTGTGCTCAAGATTCGCTTCTGCTCCCGTCACTCTTGAGAGCTGCCCTTTCATAATACCTGGCCAGGAGGCCTCTCTTCTCAAGTCCTCCAAGTTGCTGGACCCACAGAAAAACCTCCAACTTCTTTGTACTCCCCATGTCAAATTCTTGGATGCTACATGTTGTTGGCTGGTAGGTTCTTCAGTCTCCTCCTCACCTTCTCCATTGAACTTTTGTCAGAGGGAGGCACTCTTGCAGCCTCAGCCAGCATACATGGCTCCCAGGTCTGCAGCCTGACTCCAGCTTAGACCCCAGGCCCACTTTATGCAACCACATTCAGAAGTCATCATGTCTAATGTGGCTTTACCACTTATGATCCAACTTCCTGTCCTCCTCATTCCTGATCATGGATTCACAGTGCTTCTGGCCCATTGGGGGAACTGTCAGTCATCTTGACTCCTCCCCACTTATTTATCTATTCAATCTCCATAGCAATCATTTATCAGCAGCTGAGTAATTGTCAAGAACCATATTCAGTTCAGAGGCAACAAACAGAAAAGGCGTCGTTCATAGAAAGCAGTACAGACTGCAGGGCCACTTCACATCCAAGTCCTCTGGGGAGGTTTTCACAAAGTAGCCAAGTAGACCTCTGAGCTTCATCCATCTACAAAACCAGACGTGTGAGATAGGGTCAGGCATCTGCAGATAAAACTCCTGGGAGAGAGAGAGAGAGAGAGAGAGAGAGAGAGAGAGAGAGAGAGAGAGAGAGTGTTGTAGTCTTGGACCTTGCACGTTCTAGCCAAGTGCTCTACTACTGAGCGTTGGCCCTACCTCTCCAGGTGATTTTGACGCAGGTGGTTTTTTCAGTCTGCTTGTGAAGAAACAATGTCTAGGGACGTCCCTTACACTTGGTCTCACTCAACTGTGAACCTAGTGTCACTCATGTTTGTGTCCCAGCATCGACACACACTGGTCCCAGCCACCACAGCTGTTTCAGATGCTCTCACCCGCCTCACTCATGCTTTTTTGATAACTCCCGGTAAACCCCAGTCAAGGCTCGTCAGCTGGCCCTCTCTTTTCTGCAAGCCCTCGAAGCTCATCTTCGATCTTCTGAGACCCACTAGTGACTTCCCAAGCCACATGTTAAATCCAACTACATATATGAGGGGCCACAGTTCAGGAGGGAGAAGATCTGCATGGACCCTTTAAGCTCTAAGAGGAAAAAAGGTCCTTTCAGAGAAGACTTGACTTTCAGTGGGGCCAGGGCAGACAACAGGGACTGGGGAGACTTAGAGCAAGGGACACACAAAGGACCCTGTGAGCTGCATGTTGGATGACCAGGATCAGCACTCCAGTTCCAAGGCCCAGAATAATGGTCCTGCAAAGAGCTGTGGGGGTGCCTAACAGTGCCCGGCTTCCAGGCAGCCTGTGGGGGGCATTTAACAAGGACAGAGTTGGGGTTCTTGGGAGGTGTGGGTTTTTTTCACTAAACTCTTCATCGCCCACATCTCCAGACATTTAAAGAATTCTGAGCTATTTTCAGGCCTACTATGAAAAGAACCGAGGTGTCTGCAGTCAGACTCCAGGCTAACTGTTTCCCAAGAGGGGTGCTGGTATGACTTGCTCTGTCAGTCTTCTATCGACTTTTCTGGCAAACTTGGTGAGTCTTCCACGGCCGGCTCTACTGGGAGCATCCCCACGGCAGCCCGCTGTGCTCAGACTTGCTTATGACAAAGGCCACCCTCACTGGCTTGTATTCTGCATTTCTTTTTGTGGAAACTGTGGGAGGAGAGGAGAGGAACCACAATGCACAGAGCCCAGGGTGTCCCTGGGCTTCCCCACTGACTGCTGGAGAGAAGCCAGACAGCTTGCTTCAACGCTTTTCCTGGATTCCATGTTTGAAAACTGCTTTTGGAAAGAGGAGCGGAGCCCAGAGACCCCAGAACTAAACTGGTTGTTCAGTAGTTCCCCCATTTATAAAGAGCTGGTGTGTGTGTGTGTGTGTGTGTGTGTGTGTGTGTGTGTGTGTGTGTGTGTGTGTAAAGCACTCTCCTGATAAAACTAAAATCAGATGTTCCAGTCGGCCCCATATTTACTGACTTCCACTTTACCTGAGGGCCTCACCTTGAAAGGAATTGTCAAGTGTGTATCAAAGCAGAGAACACATGAGATGCCACGGAGCTGAAGCCTATCATTTGTCCTGATATGCCAGGGAGAGCTGCTGGCTGGAGACCAGAATGTACAGATGTCACCAATTTGGTGACGCTAGAGTGCTTGCTTCA